ATATATATATATATATATATATATATATATATATATATGTATTTTGTACGTCGCACAAAAAGATAATACAAACACAAAAAAAAAACTTTTTTTTTTTCCTCCATCCCTCTTTAAGTTGCAGCATTATTTTCATTCGTAGCAATATCAATCGCTTGTAATCGCTGGTGTAGTAAATCTGTTGCGGCTCTCACAGCCTCCTCATATGCTTTGTAAGCTTCTAAACGTTGGAGATCCCGTGATCCTGGCTGCTGCAGAGTTCGACTCTCATCAGTACATGTTGTTGTTGTTGCTGTTGTTGCTATTCCAAGATTTCTTCCTTCCACAAGTCCTCTCGCAGATGGAGGAAGCGCGACTCTAGCAGCAGCGGCAGCGGCAGCAGCCCCAAGTGCTGCGGCTTCTTCTCGGCTCACTACATAAGTCCGGTGTGTGCCTACTCCTACTATGTGAACACGCGGTTGTTGTTGTTGTTGTTGTTGTGATAGTGGTTCAGCAGAAGTTGTACGAACTTCCCGACGCTGTCGCCCAACTCCAAAAGCCTCGCGATACTGTTCATATGATCGACGCATTTCCTCTTCATTCGGTGGATGCCACTGCTCTTGTGCAGTAAAAACTTGTGGGTTTGCTCCAGCATGTCCCTCGCGTGGTTGAGGAGTTGCTGGTGTATTCGCCGTTCTTGTTGTATTTGTGGATGTACGCAACAAGTCTGTTCGGCAGCATGGACATGTAGACATCTTCTCAAACCAGGGCCGCAGACAAGACTGATGATAACAATGCATACACGGGAGACATTTGCAATCCTGCGTGGGCGTCATATCATCATGACAAATGGAGCAGCGTGGGTCACGGGCAATATCTTCTTCTGTGGCATTCCGTATGGAGTGAAGAAGCCGCATGAGGGACCAGTAACGTATGAGTCGACGGATCTTATCGCAGAAACTAATAACATGGTGAACCAACAACCGCACAAGTGGGATAGGTACCTGTGCTACTGTAGATACATACGCGAAGGTGGCGAAAATAACAATACTTTTAGAAATAGAGAAAAATGACTCCACGTAAAACGCGAGTCCACTGTGATTGGCCACACCTATCACTTCTGAGAAGAGAATTCGCACAACTATTCTAACGCTGGAAATAGCGAATTGGGTGTACAAAAGGGCAATGGTGTAGTATAGACCCACTTGTCTCTCATACTGCCAACTGGTATTCACAAGAAGATCAAACACCACATACACATCAAGCGGCATGGCGACAAGAAAAAAAAGCGCCAATCCCCACAACATGCGTTTTCGCACTGCAGGGACCTCCGTGATGTGCAGTGTCGTCACCCGCTCCTGGGCAACCCGGTGCAGCATGCCAAAAACCACCGTTAACAATGAGATCACACCCACTCGATTGAAGATAGTGCTCTCAAAGTAAAAAGGCACCACGAGACACTCCATCACATAAAAGGGAAGTTTGCGGTTTACCATATCATTCTCTTCAGGGTTTAATGTGCCAAAGAATACTTTGCGGCTAACACGCCAGAGTAGAATCGTTGAGGCAACAAAGCCATTGACGCAAACAAGACGAAATGCGGGTGAATTGGTCAACTCTACTACTGTTGTAAAATACTCACGGTACGCATAGGCATAGTCCAGAAAAAACAATATCAGCGAAAGAAAGCTAAGGCATATGTATGTATAGACTGAGATCATCTCTTTTTTTTTTTTTTGAACGACCCCTTCTTCGTTATATACACGTTCAGCATAAAGAAAAAGAAAAAAGAAAAAGAAAACAAAATCAAAATACAAATTAGATATACACAACCTGCAATTAAGAGAAAGAAAGAAAGAAATTTCACAAAATAAGAAGATACCAAACAAAATAAAAATAGTAATAAGACAGAAATAAAGAAAAAAAGAAAGAAAGAGAAATAATGTGATAATAAAGAAGAAATAATAAGAATGATGCAAAACCAGGATGAAAACAGAGAGGAAAACAAAAATACCAAGTAAATTGAAAAAAACAAACATTCTTCTTTTTTTTTTTCTCCTTTTCTTTTTCCTTTTTTTTTCTTCTATGTTTTGTGTATGGATTAAAAAGAAGAGGCCGTAACGAAACGTCGTAGTTGCATTAAAGCCACACGTGCGGTCTGTTCCTTTTCTTCCAGTGCACTCAGTCGTTGTGCCTCTGCGACAACAGCAGAAGGAAGGCCCGCCATCTGCGCAACTCGCACTCCAAAACTTGATGGTGTGATACCTCGTGTTGGTTGATATGTGAACACTAAATTTGACGCCTCCACCGTGTTATTATTATTATTATCACTATGACTATTAGTATTATTATTAGTTCCATTTTCTTCCTTCACTTTATCAATCTTATTATCATCATCATTGTTATTGTTATTATTATTATTATTATTATTAGTGTTGGTGTTCTTTTCTTCACGGAAGCCCATGTAGTAGCAGTCCACGTGTTCCCCGGATGCCCCATTCACGTACGGCTCACACAGATGTGAATAGTGCGTTACAAACAAAGTGGTGGCCTTCCGCTGCAGAAGATACTCCAGTGTTGCCGCAGCCACGGCGATCCCATCAAAACTGCTGGTTCCCCTCCCAACTTCATCCAACAACACTAATGAAGATGATACAAACGGGGATCGTAGAATGCGGCTTGTCTCCTCCATTTCCTTCAGAAATGTAGAGGCGCCCTCCAACAAAGAGTCACTCGCCCCCATACGGCAATAAATCGCTTTGAAAAGTGGTAATTGCGCGGCCGTTGCGGGAACATAACAGCCCAATTGAGCCATCACAACAAACACACCAACCATTCGCATGAGTGCTGATTTACCGCCCATGTTTGGGCCTGTCAATATCCACGCACCGCCTCTTGACAACCGCACACTACAACCCACATAACCACCACGCATGATCTTATCAAGTACAGGATGACGACCATTTATAATAGAAAGATATGGAGTGTCTTCTGATATTTCAGGGGCAACATAACCAGGAGCAGATGAGGTTACAGAAAGAGAACGAAGAGCATCAAGAGTTGCAACAACATTAATGACATTCTGAAATATATTTAAAATTTCTCTTGAATTCGCAATTTGTTCTTGTTTCTCTTGCCATGCCTCATTCGCTGCAATAAGAAGACGCTCCTTTGCAGAGGAAAGTTCTATGTTAAAATTAATAATATTAGGAGTATGAAATCGCACATGACTCTTAGTTCTCGTTAGTACTAACCATTCCTTTGGAGCTCGATCACATTTCGCTTGTGGTACATCAATAATAAAAGAAGTTCCTGCTATTGTACGATATTCCAAAGTTGGCATATTTAATGTTAAGCGAATCTTTTCTAGTTCCTCATCAAGGCAACGAAGTGCGTTATCACGAGCCTTTACATGAATTTCCATAGTAGTAGGAAGAGAAACATTAGACTTTGTAAAATAGTCTAATGGAGTGGTAGCTTGAGATTCCACTTCAGATTGACAAGATTGTAAAAAACTAGTTATATCTACAGAAGTAATACTTAGTAGTAATTCTTGAATAAGTTTGTTGATCTCCTCCGTGGATTCAGAGAGGATATCACTAGCAAGTTGAGATGTAGTCGCTACAGCCCGCAACAAATGAAGATATTCTGCGATAGTACATCGTTTAGATTGAAGTTTTCCAAGTGTTGCCTCAATATCACCAAACTTTGCACATTCCCGTAATAGATGCGTTATAGTATTTCCATCTTTGCCTTGTAGTAAGAAGGACACCGCATCTCTTCTAGAGAAGATTGTACACAAGTCACATGGTGGAGCTGCAACCCACATTCGCAGTCGCCGTACACCAGGGACAGTAAGATTGTGATCTAGTAAAGCTAACAGAGAACCTTTGGTACCAATACTACTATAAAAAACATCCAATGCACTTAATGTACTACCTGGAAGTTCCATTTTTTCATTACTGTTATGAATACCTTCCTTGTTATCATGTAATAAGGATAAGGATAAGGATGATGATGATAATAATTCACCGCAAGAAGCGCACATTTTTTCATAAACTTTATCAAGTTTATATGGTACAAGGTATTTTGCAATTAACTCATCCATCGTACCAGCGCCCTTCTCTACACATACCGTCACTGAACGGCCATCTTCTTCCCCATTACAAGTTGGACCAAAATGTAGTGGGAGAATTGTGTTTAAAGCTGAAGCGTAACCCTCTGGTAAACACTGTAGAGGAGATGTGTTTCTATCTTGGCTTTTCTTTTCTATGGAATTTTCAGAAAAAATAATAACTTCCACAATATCATGACGCTGCAATACATCCAACAGTTCCGTCTCTGTTGTGACATGATGGCAAGATACGGAATACGTCACAAAACTAACAAGTTTAACTTCCATCGCAACAGGTGTCTGTGATGATGATAATGATAATGATGATGATGATAATAATAATGATGGGACTTTTAAAAAACACATATACAACTCGGATGATGCTTCCTTAAGTGAAGTGCAAAGAACATCAGAAGTATGTATGTCCTCCTCTTCTTCTTCCACTACATCCGTCTGTTCTGACGTATCCACTGCGGCAGAAGAGGCGATGGCGGTTGCATTGGAATCTCCAATCACCTCCGATGGTAAAAGTGTCCCTCGACTGTACACACGTGAAATCTCTCGGGTGAAAATGCCCTTCGCATTTCCATTACTTGCTCGAATGGACGCATTCTCTTGATCGGCAAAAGCCACACGATACCCCATAGCCACAAGGCGGTGAATATATAAATTGACTCGAACATAAGGAATACTACTGTACTCGAATGGAGTCGTTCGAATACACATTATACCCAAACGACGACTAGCCACACGACTATCCCGTCCGTAGAATTTAACTCTGTACCCACACGCCACTAACAACAATGCATCTTCAGGGACAGACTCCTTCAATTGCACTACTTGTTTTTCCAGAGGTGTTAATGCCGCTGACTGTAATTCTTCCGGTTTTGCAGGGCGTTGACAAATGAGCTCTATGGCTTTTCGTACGGCAGCTTCGTCCGACCCACGCTGACGCTTACTCATCTCTGTTCCTTATTCTTTTATTTCTCTTCCTTCTTTTTTTTTTCTTTTTCTTTTCTTTTATTGTTATTTCTGTAGATTGGTGTAGGGCTATTGGTGCTATGTGTACTAATGATTTCTTTTTTTTTCTCTCGTTGTCGTTGTTTTCTTTGGTTACAATCCCACTAACCCCTTTGACAATAAACTCAGATCACATGGAATAAAAAAAAAAAAAAATAGCAAAAAGAAATCAGGAAGAATTACAGCACTTATTTCACAGAAAAAAGAAAGAAAAAAAAGAAGGAGGGGGCTCTTTTTTCTTTTTTGTGGGGGAGTAAATCCCAAAAAAAAACTAAAAAAAAAAAAAAAAAACATGGTATACAAATGAATTCAAAAGAAGAAAGCAGGAATCAAATCTGGACGAATATACATAACTTGAAATGAATAAAAGTTGGTAAAGAAAACATGACTTCCTCTTTGTTTATTTTCTTTTCTTTTTTTTTTTTTAAAGTCGCCAAAAAAAACTGGACCATGACATTTTTTTTTTTTTTTTACCCTTTTCTGCAAAGGGTATTTAGAGACTCAAGTAAAAAAAAAAAAAAAAAAGATATATAAATGCATAGGAACGACTTTTATTCTGCAGCAACAACAACAACAACACACACAAAAATAAAAATGAGTATCCCTTTTTTTTCAGTCCTTAGAGCGCACAATTGAACTGTGGGCAATAAGTGCAAGCATATACGCCTTGTCTGTTTTATTAGTCTGCAAATGGTGTTTTGTTTGAGAGCGCCGATCATCCTCAAGAACGCGGCAGAGCTCTTCATCCAGGTAGCGTCCAGTATTGAGTTCATAACGGGTATACGGCTTATCATAAAGGGGATCATACTCGTTCACAAATCGTGCCTGCGTTGCAGTAGTCGCGTGAGCTAAACCGTCTGGTAGGCCTCTTAACATCTTCACGTAATCTTTATTACTACCCTCATCCGTTGAGGTCGGGGATAGACTCGCATTCGCACCTGGTGCCATGGACATCTCTGTTCCACCCGGTCAAAAGACTTCTTTATGAAATACAATGTATTATTTAAAAACAATATACATATATAAAGTAAGAAAGAGCAAAGAAAAAGAAAAAAAAAAGAGAAAACAAATGAGTAACAAAGGTAAAAAAAAAAAAAAAAAAGATCACGTATATAATAACAATACTAATGATAACCATAACAAAAAATAAAAGAGAACACATATTGAAATAACAAGTGAAAACACTTACGTATCTAAACAATATACAAGTCCAGGAAGAAAGCTGCTAAGTTATTCCTGTCATTGTATATTGCTCCGTTAAAGGCAAAACGACGTTTTTTTTTTTTTTTTCTCTTTTTTAAAGTGATGAAAAAGAAGATATGAAGAGACAGAGAACGTACGTGATCAACAACAACAACAGAAACATTAAAAAGAAAAACACAACGATCCGTTAACGTACCACTCTACTTACCTTTGTTCTTGTTGTTATTCTTGTTCGTAGCGGCGTTAGCATTATTATTGTTGTTGTTGGTGCTCTTCTCTTTATCTTCCTTGAGTGTCAAGACTCTGTTCATTACGAGGCGCTCAGCCGTTGTGTCGGGGTCCACCACAAAGTACCCAAAGCGTTCCGCCTGCATCGATTCAAACACCTTCGCCTCCCGCACAGCCGGCTCTGCATATCCCTGCACGATCTGTTCACTGTCGGCGTTAATGTATTTGAGGAACTCTGGATCAATGGCTGCGCGATCATCCTTCAGCAGATAACTGTAGAGACGGAACTCCACAGGCACGGCATGTGTCTCACTCACCCAACTGATGTTTGTCTTTGGCTTCACCGCCCGCTCAAAGTCCACTTCAACGTGAATGAGGGATGGCCGCCCCTCCGCATCGCACTCGTAGCTGCGGCAGATGATATTACCGCTGTACTTTAATCCAACAGCCCGTGGACCAGGGGCCAAACCGTAGAACTTGCTATTGTTATCCTCCGTTCGGAAGTCACTGCGATCAATATAGAATGTTTTGGTGAATTTCACTTTTCGTGATCCCCGCTCTTCACACCGTGGGTGATTGGGACAATCCACTTCCTTTTCACCATCCCAGTTATCAATGACAACCTTGATGGGATCCACAATCATGAGACGTCGATTTGTACGTTCATCAAGATCTTCACGTAAAACGTGCTCCAGCATAGAAACTTGAATAACATTCATTGAACGTGTTATACCCACAAGATCACAGAAACGATTGATAGCCTCTGGTGTATATCCACGTCGACGCATACCTGCCAGTGTCAAAAGACGTGGATCATCAAATCCACGAACGATGCCTTTCTTTACCAAGACATTTATCTTTCGCTTTGAAAGTAATGATCCTGTTACGTTAAGGCGGCTAAACTCCCAGACATGTGGCCTCCAGAGATTTAACTGTTCAAGTAACCAAAAGTAACTTTCTCGTCGTGTCTCAAATTCCAATGTACACAAACTGTAATCAATATTTTCAAGACTATCAATTAGACAGTGTGTATAATCATAACTGGGATAGACGCACCATTTATCTTTGCTGTGTGGATGGGCAGAATACTTCACACGATATGCGATAAAATCACGCATATTTGGGTTATCACTCTTCATATCAATTTTTACCCGTAATGTTGCTTCACCCTCTGCATATCTCCCTTGTCGCATATATTCAAAATGAAGGAGATTTTCTTCTACAGGTCGATTACGCCACTTACTTTCTTCACGATTTTCTCGTTGTTTCTTTATTTCATCAGCAGTGGAATGGTCAACATAGGCTTTACCATCCTTAATAAGTTGAATGGCAAAATCATATAACTGCTGAAAATAATCAGAAGAGAAAGTAATCCAGTCTGGTTTCCAACCCATCCATCGCACCATCTCTGCAATAGCATCAATATACACTTGTTCCTCTGTCTCTGGATTGGTGTCATCATATCGCAAATAACATTTTCCACTGTGAGCAACAGCGCAGCCAAAATTCAAGTTCATACTCTTTGCGTGTCCAATATGCAGAAAACCATTAGGCTCAGGGGGGAATCGAAAGTACGGCTTTCCTCCAGTAATGACATTGTGCTTTTCCAGAAGATCGGGTGTGTTGGTACACCCTTGCACTGGCCGGCCTGTCTGCAGAAGCCGCAGGTCTTTTTTCACCTCCAGTACAGGCTCTGTAGCAGCAGCAGCAGCAGTAGTATTAGGAGGAGCAACAGCAGCAGCACCTGACATCTTCTTATGAAACACCGTTAAAAGACGACGAAACGTTCTTAAATGAGTTGTGTTTTGTTTTTCTTTTTTTTTTGTTTGTTTTTGTGTCCGTAAATAATTCCAGTACAACGAAACCAAGGTCGTGGTAGAGCAAAAGGAAAAGGAAAGAAAATTTAGAAAATGAGGAGAGAAAACAGAAAACAAATTAATACCAAGTAATTATTAACTTTTAAAACCAAATAGTATAATCCCATCGTTTTTCTTCTTTTTTTTTTTTCTTTTATTATCTAAAACACCATGATGCTTAAGAGTCATGACACAAAGTACCATCTTTCAAGAACAACAACAAAAAAAAACCTTTTCTTTAAAATATAGAGATAGTAAAGCAAAACAAATGAATGAAAAGATGGAAACCAGAAGAGATTATGTTTTTCTTTTTTTTTCTTTTTTGTTAAATGATATTGAGGGTGGGGAAATACAAGAAAGTAAAAAAAAAAAAAAACAACATAGGGAAATTTAACTACCCTGCGTGCTTTATTCACAATCATGTAATGAATGAACAGCAACTCTTTGCATGTGTATGCGTGTGCAAACACACACACACGTTCATTTTCCCCACTCCTCCTCTATGGAATGTATCATGATAATGAGGGAATAAGTACAACTACCCTTCACTTTTTTTTATTTTTGTTTTTTTTTTTTTTTTTTGTTTTGTTTTGTTTTATTTCATCCTTCTCGGTTTCTTTCCTTCATTTTTTTTCTTTTTGCTCTTTCTTTTCTTTTGTTCTTTTCTCCTTTTTTTTTTTCTTCTGCCCCTGCTCTCCTACCCCTTATTTCTCGCCTGCTCTGAACGCGAGTGGATAAAGTGTCAAAGTGGTGATGAAGATGGTAATGGTAATGGTAATGGTGGAGGAAGAAGAAGAAGAGGAAGAGGAGGAATCCCTTCCACTACTCCTCATCGTCTACCTTTGGAGCGAGGTAGTAGCGCAGATACCCGACCTGATCGATGCTGAACTCCACCATGCATGGACTGCCCTTTGCAAAGTTGAGTGAGACGCGATCACTGAGTGTGGCTCCCTTTGCAAAGATGTTCATAAAGCGGAGTGCGAAGGAGAGTGTGATGGGCTCGTCCATGCGCACCTCGACGCCGACGGCCTTCGCTTCTGTCTTTCCCCGCCCGCCGGCGCCGTCCTCGTCCTCCTCCGCCTTCACTTCGGCCTTCCCCCGGCCCGCCTGGCCGCCCGGGACCCCCACCGACCGCAGAAAGGCGTAGCCCTCCCCAACATCGCCGGCGGAGCTGAACTTCACGCCCTCCCGCCCAATCTCAATCGTCACTGTCTCACCAAAGACCGTCATGTCCCGCACAATCTTCGCAAACTCCTGCGAGCTCAGCGTCACGGTGGCTTTGTAGTCCAGCTGCGGAATGCACATCGCCTCCGCCTCGATCTCCAGCAGCTTCAGCTGGTACTCACACTTACGGCTCCGGTCAACGTTTTCAGAGGTAAGGGTGACCACATCGCAGTCATCCTCGTGGCGCAGCGTCAGGCTGTCAGAGGCTTCAATGATTTTCAGCACCTTCGACAGAGAGGCGAGATTGAGACCAAGAATGCTGTTGCGCTCGCACTGGTACTTTGTGAAGCAGTCATCACGAAGAAGCATGTGCACAAGAGCAACGTGACTGGTGTCCATCGCTTGAATAGAAAGACCACCAGGGTTACAATCAAAATTTGCCTCATTCACAAGACCGTTAATGCACTCAACGAGTCGCTTCCACAAATTAGCTTGCTGAACTTGAGCCTCAAGCATAATTAGCCGTTTGTATTATACTTTATCCTCCTCTCACAATGATGCTAACTAGAAATAAGGTCAACAAGAATATAACAAAAAAGAGCAAAAAAAAAGAAGATAAACAACAAATAAACAATTACAATTAAAGTAAAACAAATACTCCTGAGAATCTCATATATTTCCCTATGAAGATTATCGCCCTCACAAAAAAAAAAAAAAAAAAATCACCTACAAACTCTGTCTCTCTCTCTCTCTCTCTCTCTCGTCACCCCCATCTCAGCCACACCCCTAAAAATAAAAATACACACAGACAGACAAGAAAAAAAAAAAAATGTCTCTTACGAAAGAATGAGTCCTTTAGCATCTTCACGTACTAACAATGGACAAACATGTACATTCTTATATCGTTCCCAGAATTCCTCAACCACTGAACAGGTCTCGTCACCCATCACAAGGGCGAACACAGCATCATAACCACCTGCCCCAGGGCAACCCACTGCAAAAACACCTGGAATCGCACAAGTAGCATCCAACAAAGCGCTTAATACGTTGGGTTCAATTTCCACAGAAGCAGCATGTCCCATTTCACGCAAATAACGTCGACTTGTATTAGCGAATGTAGCCGCTTCTATCCAAAGTCGTTCAGATTCGTTTTTAGGTGTATGCTGAGCTATCACAACACGCTTCAAGTTCTCAACTGCATCCATGTATTCTGCCGGTTTTTCATCGGCATGTTTTATTAGCAAACGAAGAGCCTTGACGTATTTTTCATTATTTTCAGCAAGATGATTCCAAAGGCTTTCCGGATCATTTGCAACAGACTTCCTCCATGCCATCACTTTAGATACCATCCCTGGTGTACCTGTACCTCCCTGGTGCACATCTCCAAGTACAATTTTTAAACCCAATGGTAATCGGAATGGGACTCTTTCAACCCATTCCTTCTCAAGGTTTACACAATCTGCAAAATTAACAACTGCAACACTTTTTGGAGGTTCATTATCGTTCATAATCTTTTCAATATACTTAGCTGGAAAACGGCGATAGAGACAAGTACCATAGGTTGCTGTGTAGACATCAAATCCACTCCCAATTTTACCTTGTGCTACGCTATGAGCAATCTGAGCAGTACGATGGATAAGTTCAACTTCTTTCGTACCCATAGAATCGCTGTTAATAAGAAATCTATACAAACATGCCACTGCACTGGTTGTCATAGCGGCAGATGATCCCAATCCTGTCTTAGATACATCACCCACAAGAGGGAGATGACGAGGCAATGTGCGCAAATTGGCTACAGTCACTTGTTTTCCTTCTGCTTCCAAGTAGTTTCTCTGACTATAAAAATCGTTATCGGCAAACAATTCTAATGTAATGGTTTTTCGAATATCACCACCTTGTGATACAACTGCAGCCACTGCATAGAGAACACTGTAGTAAAGAAAAGGAGATGAGGAACCTTCAATTTGTGTAACTGAAACAATTGACTCAGTCACATCCTTCACAGTACACTCAAATCTATATTCTTTGTTGAATTGTGGTGAAACAAAGTGCACGTGGCACTTCTCATCCGGTGATTTTTCTCCAAATACCACACGTGTCTCAAAGCGTGCTGTAGTGCCAATGGATATACCAACATTGGGTCCTTCAACAACGATAAAGCCACCAAGGATTAGCACCTTTCCAGGAGACGATGCGCTTGCCATAGTTTTTTTTTTTTTTTTTAATCAGATCCGCAATTAATACTTAGCTTGAATAGGAAATAAAACAAAAACAACAAAAAAAACAACAACAACCAAAAATACAAAAACAAAAACAAAAGCAAAAAAAAGAAAAAAAAACAACTAAAATATAATAATATTTCCATCTCGAGAGTTAATAATTACACTAAAAACTGAAAAAGCCGCAAAATAGTACGTTACCATCACTACTACACTAGCGTTTATTAGCAGGAACACCTGATCTATCCTCTACTGGTGGTGCAACACCAATGGCTTTAAATAGTTCCGGATCAACTGTAACTACGCGCCGCTTACGCCGCGGTTGCGTTGCCCCCGAGTTTTCATCTTGTTCAGGTGGCACTTCAATCTGTTCACCTTCTTCAGTGACAACACCTGCAGCCACATTTGCCTGGTGGAGTCGCCTAAGATAGTACATGGAGAACAACGCACACGTCCCCGCACAGAAAAATAAAACAACGAAGAATACGTATCCACCCCGTCCTTCACAGCACCACTCGGCACAGTTAGTAATGCTTGAATCCAATAATTTACACATTCCCTCTCCCAAACATGGATCGCGCGCACACTCGGTTCGCAATGAACTGTAGCCGTCGCACTTGGCAACACACTGACCTGACATCACTGTACTAAGGAGCTCCTTCTGTTACTAATTTATGTAAAATAAAGAAAAAAGAAGACAAAAAAACAAAACACAGAAAAAAAAAAAAGCAAAATATCCATTTGTTCAATTTTCTTTTATTTTCCAAGATTCACGACCAAATAAGAAATCATGTGTAATAAATAAATAGAAAAAAAAGAACAAAAAAAAAGAAATCAAAGGAGTGAAAATTGGGGGAATGTCTTAAAACGTTTAGGAGGGACATATCTTTAACTATCTGTTTCTATCTTCATTGAACTAGTGCAAAGACCCCTTTTTATATAAGCCTCTTTCACAGATGTCCCTTGTTGTCTCCTTCATTTTTTTTTCATTTCTTCTTTTTTTTTTCTTTTTCTTTTCCCTTCACTTTAACAATATTTCATTTTTAAAAATGGGTAGGTGATGCCCTTGAATCTTTTTCAAGGATGACGTCTCGTCAGCTCTTGCACAACCCGGATACCTAGAGCAGGCGCTCAATCTCCAGCTTCACGGCCTGGACCTTGGAGGAAATGGGGCTGTTCTCTGCCTGTAAAATTGCGAGAGCCACAGCGTTGCGGGAGACCTGTGCGGCCCGACCTAACGCTGCCTTCGATGGAAGGAACACGTACGGCACGTTCTTGTCCTCGCAGAGAAGCGGGAGGTGAAGGAGGATTTCAATTGGCTTGGTGTCTCCCGCAAGAACGATCAGATCAGCAATGCCACGGTTGAGAGCTTTTGTGGCCTCGTTAGCACCCTTCTTGATCATCTTGGCGTTACTGGCCTCCTGCACTAGATCAAGAATGGTCTGTGTCAGGCGGTCGCCGGCGAGGGGGAAGGCCTTTTCACTGATCTCAGATGTCATCGCGGTGCCTTTAAACGAAACGAGAGAAGAAAAAAAAAACTTGTCTTGTATAAGAGGAAGAAAAGAAGGAAAGAAAGAAAAAAAAAAGAATTGTTTTAATAAAACATATACACAAAAAAAGTAAAAGCCCACAAGCAAACAAAAAAAACCATATATATACATATATATATAGAGAGAGAGAGAGGGAGAGAGAGAGAGAGAGAGAGCGACAAAAACATAGATATATAAATATATATATATATAGATATTTTTCGCAGTGGGAGTGAGAAAGAGAAATAATAGAAAAGAGAACTTTGGGTAGTAACCCCAAAGTGTCACTACCACACTACCACAGCTCCATAAAGTCAAAGGAAAAAAAAAAAAAACAGTTGCACACACAAGAAACTTCTGAAAAAAAACCCTATGAGCAAGGCTACAACCGTTTCTATAATGCACCCTTTAAGAAAAAAAAAACAAAAAAAGCACTTCCAACAACACAAAAATACATATTTCACTCTAGTAATCACTGTATTGATACATCAGTTGCCACCCACTGAAGAAGTTCGGGCAGCTAGCGTCCGTTCCCATTGCGCACGGTTGCTAGACACACGTTCAACAGCCCAAGTCATACCACTCAGACACGCATCCACAATTTTCTTAAAGAATGGACCAGCAACAAAATCAATAAAGCCAATTTGGCCCTTAGCAAGCTCAGTATTCTTTGAGCGGTCAAACATGGGTAGAACTTCGACACCCTTCTCTTTCTCCATATCACCCTGGCGATAGAACTCCTCTGTCACTGCCATTGCCCATAAACGAGAGATGTCAAAAGGTTTTGTTACATTAGAAACATCTCCAGCTTTCATTAATACATCCATAACCATTTGCCTACTATTTGTGTCATTAATATCATATGGTCGTTCCATTGCTGTCAGGAATAAATTCAGTAGTTCATTGTGTTTAGCCATATCAGTTGCGAGCACGCAATCAATCATTCCACGGTAAGCACTGGTACGATCCGCTCCCTCAAGACCTCCGAATACATCAGAATCAGGATCAGAAAGAATCTCAACCGCAAGATTACAGTGGTGTACCTCCAGTACAGAGGTATTACCACTCGCACTTGATAGAATCCCAAGAGGGGACTCTGTCTTGAGATAAAAACTGTTATTCAATCCCATGTGATCAAGATCGTGGACCAATGCTGTTACCAAGAGTACAAAGCACTCCAGCTCCGTCAACTTTTCACAGGCCTTACCATAATACAGGAATGTATATATGGTTTGACAAACATCCACAACATGGTAAAAATTGTGATAAGGCACATTGCGATACTTTTTCCGGCACTGAAGAATAAAGTTTAACAGCGTGTCATCGCTGCAACGGAATTTCTGTGGCAGACCTGTTCCCAATATCAATCTGTATGCAACAGCAGCAGCGGCGTCAAGAGGCTCTTCCGCCTTCTCCCGCACACGGAACAAATCAAAATTAATATCTGTGATGTCCACACTGTTTAGTGCAATATTCCTCACGGCATTCCGTTCTGCGTCTGTAATGGCAAGGAGACGCTTTACACTACGCAGAGAACCACGACGATCACCTGCAAACATGCGACGCTCATTCAGTTCCATCATTTCACGACCCGCATTCACAGCAAACTCAAGCAAATGAGAATTGTTGATAGATATTCCAGCGAAAAGGGAGAACACATGGAATGTCTCACGGTCCTTGTCAGTGAAAACAGTCACCTCTCCGGTGTGGTCCAGCTTGTTCACGAGCTGCACAACGGCAAGGATATCCCCGTTCAACACAATGGGCTCACAGAGCAACGTCTGTGTGCGGTAGCCAAGCTGCTTATCGACCTCACGGTTGAAGCGAGGATCCTGATAGGCGTCAATGATGTTAACACCAACACCAGATGCTGCCACAGTACCAGCAATACCTTGTCCACACGGAAATCGAATCTCCTTCCCCGCCACACTGTCTGCCAAGCGGCTGTACAACTCATTTCGCTCCTTGTCCACAAGAAAGAGCGCAGAGCGGTCTGCATTCAGCAGTTTCTTCGCGCCATGAAGCACGTGACGCACAATGCCGTCCACGTCGCGGATGTCAGTGTTAGACAACAGGGTCACAACGTCCAGGATGGCATCGCTCTTCTTCTTCTCAGTCACCAGGCTTTCATTGATACGGCAATTTCGCAGTGAGGCACCAGCGAACATGGAGAACGTCTGGAACAGCTCTTCATCGCGCTTTCCAAAGGTACGTGGGAGTCGGAGGCCACCCTCAGTCACCATGTCCAGTTTGTTGATCAGCTGTGCAACAGCCACAATCGTTCCTTCGTACATCACTGGCATACACAGTATTGTCTTTGTGCGGTATCCAGTCGCTTTATCCACATCGCGGTTGAACCGTTCATCCGCATACACATCAGCAATATTCACAGTCTTACCTGTCTGGGCCACATATCCAGCAATGCCGGTACCAGATGGTATTGTGACAACGTTGCCATCTTCAAAGTGAGCCTCCAGTGTATCTCCCTTGACAAGAAAAATACTGCATCGATCACTCTCTGTAAGCGCCTTTGCAGTATTCATTATAGAATTCGCGAGTACCGCTTCATCAAGATTATCACGAGCCAATTGTGTCGCCATCGTCAACATGGCTTCTGCTTTTTCCTTGTTCCAGTTAAGTCTTTCAGCTTCAATAGCATTCTGCAAGATCATACCAGCCACCCGCAGGGTTCCTTCGAGTAATGGGTGGCTGTGATAATCACTTCTCCCATGGGGACTTTCCACACACCCCAAAACCTTGTTGTTGTGGCTAAGAGGAATGTATAATGTTCCCGCAATTGTGCATTCTTCTCCTGTTGACACTGTCTTTCCCAGTGGCGTACTCTCATCAAATGGTGCAGCTACTCCGTGTAGGGGGTCCACCAGAAGCATGTCGCCAGGATCAAGGTAGTAGGTATGCGTATGGCTGGCACGAAGTACAAATGAAAGTTGCTCATTTAGCCGACTTAGTACCTCTTTGATAGGAAGATTCAGATCAATGCACTTGTCCATCAAATTAACAATAGAGTCAATGGGTGTTTGGAATTGCGCTCCAATAAGAGGTACACTTGGTTCCGAGCCTACGGTTTTTTCTTTCCTTAGGGTTCCTGCGCGATCTTGAGCACTTGTGGTAAGATCAGCATATCGTTCATTAAGCGCGCGAAACGCTTTCATCTCTGTCTCATCAAGTTTCAACCCACAGCGTTTATACCGTGCCATAATGACTTCACAGAGCGTCAGCGCTTCAAGAAGATGACGGCCTCCATTTTCCCCCATTTTATTTTTATGCAAAGTGCGCTTTACGCAATCAGTTATACTTCTTCACAAGGAAAAAGAATATGCTAACTAGAGAAAAAAAAAAAAAAACAGAAACAGAAACAAAAACAGAATTTTTTTTTTTTTTTGAGCCATACTAGGACTATAAGATCAGATTTTTTCCGTTGGCAGACCCTTTTTTTTTAGATTTGCAGGGAATTGCGCCACCATCAGCTATCCAACCACAGTGAGCTCATCAAAAAAAAAAGAAAAAAGATGCAGACACACTACCAGTGGTATCCAAAAGGCATGTCTTCCGGCACTATCTAATCACATTTCCTTTTCTTCGGGGTATTTTAAAAGTGCACAGAAGAATCTTGACCTCACCATTGCACATTCACTCAGCCGATCCCCTGTTAAAACAAAAAAAAAAAAAAAATCCCAAAAGAGGGAAAAAACATCTCTGCATCTTATTTTTTAAACATCACAACAATAATACAGAAATTCAGGCAATAACAAGAAAAAAAAATTGATTCCTTTCTTATTCATTGATGGAGATAAAAAGTAAAATTCAAGAAATTTGAAAGGTGGCATATTCCATTCTTTTCTTTTCTTTTTTTTTTAAAAAAAAGATAGACTTATACATTGTTTGTTTACGTTTACATTCTTTTTCTTTCAAGGTGTATACTCCCACTCAAGAAACCTGTGAAAAAGCGTTCATAATCTTCAACTAACTAAAAAAAAAATGAAGAATGAAAGCAAAAACTCACCGCACCGCCTTTAAAGAGGAAAACGAAAGAAGAAACATATAATGAAGTCCCAAACGACACTAGGCATCACTTTTTCTTTCTTTCGCCTCATTAGCAGCATTCAACACTTGTTCCCATTGCGCACGGTTGCTATTCACACGCTCAACAGCCCAAGTCATACCACGCAGACACGCATCCACAATTTTCTTAAAGAATGGACCAGCAACAAAATCAATAAAGCCAATTTGGCCCTTAGCAAGCTCAGTATTCTTTGAGCGGTCAAACATGGGTAGAACTTCGACACCCTTCTCTTTCTCCATATCACCCTGGCGATAGAACTCCTCTGTCACTGCCATTGCCCATAAACGAGAGATGTCAAAAGGTTTTGTTACATTAGAAACATCTCCAGCTTTAAGCAAAATTTCCATTGTTAATCGACGAACATTCTCGTCCTCCTTATTGTACGGCTCACTAGCAACATCCAAAAAATGTTCCAAAGCTGTACCATGCTTAGCCATATCAGTTGCGAGCACGCAATCAATCATTCCACGGTAAGCACTGGTACGATCCGCTCCCTCAAGACCT